AAGTATAATGGGAAAAAAAAAAAATATATATATATATATATATATGATTAAGATATTTGGAGTAGGAATAAACCAGCAGATAAATGAAGAGATCACCACGAAGCGATACTGGAAGGAAAACATAGCAGCGGAATAGGTTGAGGTCCAGCGAGCGGCCAAGGCAAGGTTGTCGCCTGCCAGTAAGGCGAAAAACACCAAGAGCTTAACCTATAGCTCTCATACCATGTTACAATAGTAGAGAGAGTGGAAATAATATATATTGTATTCAATTAATTAATCCTATACAATAAATAGAAGGCATTTACAATATAGCGAAATATTTTAATTGCTGTTATTTATTGGACTAATATGATACAATCTGTGGAATTAAAGGGAATGAAAGGAGATTATTTCAGTGGCATTAGAGCAATTAAGTAATATAAAGATAAACTTCCATAACCCTATTTGTCTACGATGGGTGAAGAAATAATTCAATTAAATTATTTCAATTGGTGATTATCATATAAACAACTTAATATAAAATTTTCAAATGAAATCAATTGAAATAAAGGGATGTGTACAGTTGATCCTAATAATTAAGACAAGATTGTTGAGTTGAGAAATGAAACAAAAGTACAATAGAATTTAATTTATTTTTGTAACTTTCATGTTAACAAAAACTTTTCGCTAAGAGAAATTATGGTCGTGTTTGGCTTAGTTTTGTAACCGTAATTTTGATAATTTTTTTTTTAAAATTAATAATCAAACACAATTCAAAAATTATTTAAAAAACTCATAATCAAAAACACAATTCAAAAATTCTTTTCAAAATTCATAACCAAAATCGTTTTAAAAACTCCATTACAAAAAAAATTCAAATTTATTTATTTATTTTGTTCTTTAGAATTTTACTTAAATCATAATTTTAAAACTAAACCAAACTTAATTTACTTTTTTGTGATATAATTTTTTAAAACTAATTTTTTAAGCAAGATATTTGAGAAAAAACTTTCTTTCCCCTTGTTGGGAGCTTTGTTGTCATTTTATTACGACTAAAAGCATTTATTAAAAGCGTGTAAATGAATAAAAATAGACACAGCTTTGTGTCACAATAAAATTGAGAATTATATATACACTTTCCAATCAAATTACATGATGGAACAATTAATTTGACAATAAAGCTTACCCCTTATCTTCATTGATTGATTTTTATTAAAATAAAAAACTACATTAAGAAAATAACACATCAAGATAAAGAAATTAGGGAAATGTATTAAAGGATTTCACTGATATAAAGTTGCCTCAAATAGGGTTTCTATTCCAACTTGTGATTAAATCTACAAACATTATATGATATTTGTATGGCCTGATTTCAATCTAAGGCTACCAATTGAATATCACTGTTTACAAGTATCTATAACACAAACTTTATACGAGTATAGGCCTAAGCGGGTGCTAGTTAGCCACCACAGCAATAGACTCTAAATTTCCATGAGTCTCTCCCATGCCTACCCACCTTCAAATTGAACATCATATACAAATTTTTTAACCCATGGCGTTGTGAAAACTTAGAATTGACCCCCCTCAAATGTTTGGCCAAATTGCCAATTAGCTGGCACTGCATTGTAACTAGTAATGGTCATTCCATCGCCAGTAGTGACTTGAAATGAGAGAGATTGGCCATTGAGCATGGAGTTGCTCTGCCAGTTTTGACCCCAATTCCTTGACAAGGGTTGCCAACCTGTTTTGGACCCCTTGATCGACACTGAATGGACGTCCCCTGCACCGCCAACATTGCTAACCAAGACCAGGTTGAAGTAAGAGTGGCCATTGATTGTAAATCTTATTCCTCATTTCTTCACACAGGGCACCCTGTCAAGACCACCACACAACAATATTCGTTAGTTAATTTAAAGAAGGGAGAAACCACTGGCAGTAAGACTCGATCCGAGTATCACACTCGATAAGACATCACAAACTCATTGGTCTTTATTCGATAGTCAAATTAACTAGCAAAGATTAAGCAAATTGCTTTGACTAATTTTTTAGTTAATTTAACATTAAAAGCAAATCCGCCACTACAACATTTTCTTAGTTTAGTACATTTGAAAGTGCCACAAAACTATTCTTCTAATGACATTTTTTGGTCTTGTGGCATTTTGAACAAGTGCCACTTCTATCGGTGCCACGGTAGATATGAGTGCCACGGTAGATACTTGCAAGTGCCACTGCACCATCATGCTGAAAACTTTCAATGACATTTTAATGTCATGGTAAATATTATTTGTGACACTATCAAGCGGCATTAAAAAAAGAGTTAGTGACACTTGTATGTGTCATTACACCATCAAGACTAAAACCTTTCAGTGACACTTTAATGTCATGATAGGCACTATTCGTGACGCTATCAAGTGCCATTTATGACGATAATTCGTTGTAGAACAATTTGATCCGCTCTTGTGGAGACTCGAACCGCCAACCTTCCGCACCATAAACCTTATACACCACACTCTTCCCACTACACCTCTATAGCACCACATGATTATATATGCAACATATATTATTTAGATAGTACATACATCCATATTAATATAAAAGTATATGTATAAACATAATTATTTTATTGAACATAATTTATGTAAAATAAACTATTTACTACCAAAATTAAAAAAAGACCACTTTTGGCGGCTAAAAAATATTCTATACTTTGGGCTACTAATTATTTTCTAGTTGCTAAAAAACTTAACTTTTGTCGACTAAAATCGGATTTGGTAGCCGATGATGCACTTTCAGCTACCAAAATTTTGGTCATCAAAAAATGTTATTCCCGCCTTAGGATTTTAGTTCTCCCGCGCTAAAAATGACCACTTTTGGTGACTAAACTTATTTTTTAGTCGCCAATTGTAGACTTTTGGCTACTAAAATTTTTTTTGGCACCAAAAAGCTTTACTTTTGGCTACTAAATTTTTTTTAGTCGGTAAAACCCATATAATCAACGACCAAACTTATTTTTAGTCGCCAATTGTAGACTTTTGCCTACTAAATTTTTTTAGTCGCCAAAAAGCTTTACTTTGGGTTACTAAAAATTTTTGTCACTAAAACCCATATAATCAGCAACCAAACTTAGTTTTAGTCGCCAATTGTAGACTTTTGACTACTAAAATTGTTTGGTTGCCAAAAAGCTTTACTTTTGGCAACTAATGCTGTTTTGGTCGCTGAAAGCTATACTTTCAGCGACCAAATTTTTTTGGTCAGGAAATTTAGTCGCCGAATCTGCTTTTTCCTGTAGTGTATATTGAGTTTAATTCATTTATTTTTAATCATTTACTGCATTTTAAAAATTTAGAAAATATATTGGCACTTTTATTTTTTCAAAAATGTCATTATAAGCTTAGAAAGTTTTTGGCTTAGTGGCATTTATCAAAATGCTATAAAATATTTGTTTATGACACTTTTCACCTAAGTGCCATAAAAAGTAATTTGCACCTACCTAGTGTCCTGACATTTTTTAAAAAATGCCATTGCAACTAAAGTTTAGTGGCATCTGTTGGTAAATGTCACGAACATAATTTTTTGTGTCATTATTTTATAAAATGTCATAAAATTGATGTGACATTTCTTTATTGAAATACCACTGGAGCCTTATATGTTTTGTGGTTCTATGGCATTTTAATAACTTTATTTATTATATATATATATATCTTTTGTATCACTACTCTTTATTTGAACACAAGTTATTTAAATGTTGATATGATGAACAACTATGCTACAAATATAAATAATTTTTACAGAATGAGACATCAATATGAAATAAATGTATGAAACTCATATGAGTGGTTTCACATGTATGATTCACCTATTATTTCACATCTTGATACACTTGTAGATAAATCTTTTAGGCATTTAGATTTGCTTTATGATTGAGTGAATAAAGTTGTGTTAAACAATATGTATGTGCATATATATATATATATATATATTTCTTCTCGTTTTTGTTATTTTCATTTTCAATTCTAGATGGAGACCTGTATTACTCTTTTGCCTGAAAATTAGGGTATCAAAGATATTCACTTCTAGAAACTTTTTTTTGTACTATGTTGTAAAGGATATATATATTTTTTTTTATCGGCAAAAGAAGAAAAGTTTTATTGATAAAAAAACATATAAACATGCAGCGATTACATTAATAAAGGCAAGAAAATGCAAAAGGTATCACAATATAACTAATACGATCCCAACTAAGTTAGTGCCGAAGAGCATACCCAATTATTTGCTAGCAAACACCTTAAAGTTGGAAAGAAATTAGTGTAGTGCCACTAAAGTATATTTTTGTTGTAGTGAAATCAACAACAAAAGAAGAAAAAACAAAACACAAAAAGACAGCAAAAAATATATGCCTCCAACTGCTGCTTTCCATAATAGTGGCAATGCCCCCCAGCACCTACAATCCATATGGATATATATATATAGATATAGGTATAAATATATTCACAGTTCAAAAATTATGGATGTGAATTCAATTATAAAACTGTACACAATCTTTTTTATGGGTGAAACCCGTACATTTAGTAGAATCCATTTTATATGAAAAAATTGTATTTAATTTTGTGATTGAATTACGTTTAAAATTTTTAGAACTTGGGTCAAGAGATAGTGATAGTTTATAATTTATGTGAAATTATTCTTATAAAGTTATGAACATGTGGCCTTTCAATAATGTATATCAAACTATTCAGCACTCCACATGCTATCATGTCGACTGTTATTTCTTGCCCATTACTCAATCTAGCCAATGTGATATTCTTCGCCACTTTCTCTATTCTTTTTCTTTTTCTTTTTCTCTGTTCACCTCATTCTTTTTCTTTCTCTCGTACATTTTCTCACTATGGATTGCACAAAACGGACATGAGGCAATCCTATCCCTCTCCTCTTTTCTCTTTAACCAGATCACATTTAGGCCCGTTTGTTTTGGGTGTAATGGATGGGATGAGATTAGGATGAAGGTGGGGTCATTTAGTGTTGTGTTTGTTTGTAGAATTTGGGAAGGGATTAGGATGGAGGAATGGATTAAGATGGAAGTTAGAAGGGGATTAGAATGAAGGAGGTAGAGGTGATAATAGAAAAATAGTGAGGGGATTAGAAATTTTTTTTATTTTGTACATATTGAGAATTTTTTTTTTTTAACATTAATGTTTAATGTTTTGTATTTTTTATTTGTTTTATTATTTTATATAAAAATAATTTAACAATTTCTACATTAACAACTTGAAAATCTAAGTGATTCGTGATTAGATCAAGATTAAAAAATTCC